CATCGTTTCATCGTTTCATCGCTTCATCGTTTCATCGTTTGTAAAAATCGTCTGGTGTGCGGTGGCCTTAAGCAGCTCGCAGCTTGCAAATACCGTATTTCTGGAGCCGCGAATCAGCGTGTGAACGCTCGGCCGCGTATTTGTCTCAGATTCGGTATTTCGCAAATACCGTATTTCTGGAGCCGCGAATCAGCGTGTGAACGCTCGGCCGCGTATTTGTCTCAGATACGGTATTTCGCAAATCCGGTATTTCAGAAATACGAGGTCTCGTGTGAACGAGGCTAATGTTGCTACACGCGGCGTCGCAAATTCTCGAAGTGTTAAGTCCGCGGCTTACTTTCGACAGTCAGGTGGCATTTCTGCTCGCGAGTGCCGAATGAGTTGGATGCCTGTAGCTTGTAGGCTCCTGCGTCTTCCATCTTGCATCGACTGACCGTCATTGAGTAGTCGCTGCCAAAGTATTTCTGCAAGTACTTGACGCCTTGAGACAGCGGTGAATCATCCTTCAACCTGCACGGAAGAAAACAAAATACCGTGTTATCACGGTCTCTCAATGGTTAACCTTATACGCCAGTGAATATTGAATGATAAAAGACGTCTATGTTCGTGGATGTTTATCATTACAGAAGTATTCTATGTTTAATTATTTCACGTTTATCTGAACGCCACCGGAAATTGGCGAGCCGCGGCACGTGGGAATTTCTTGTTGTAAAATACACACACAACTTATTGTCAAAGTAGCAACCTTGCTTCTTTCCACCCTGAACATGAGCACTCTGCCATCACTTAATTTTCACCATGATATGGACAGCACGACAGGTATTCCCGTCGCAGTACGGTTTTACTCACCAGGTGACGATTGGTGGGGATGGCGCAATGATCCTAGCATTAAACTTAGCACTCCTGCCCTCGATGGCCATCGTACTGTACGGCTTAACGATAAACCTGGGAGCTGCTTCGTAGCGATCTGTAGGTGGAAATACACAAGTATATTTGGAACTATTACCAATAGATATAACTCGCACATACGCACGCGCGCACGCACGCACGCACACACACACAGACAAACATCAACCACCATTAACCAAATAACTAACAACTTGGTAACAAGCAATCATGTTATTCATTTTTTAAATTGATGAATTTATTAATTTTTACGGTAATGTTAAACATACCATTATTAACTACATGTCATAGCAGAAAATGACCCAAGAAACTCGATAAGCGGAAATTTAGCAGCTAGCAAACGAAGACAATCTTGCTTGTACGGGGTAGGTAGCTTCTCGTAGAGAAAATTACATAACCGAAAGACTACTCTGTGCTACAAGTCCTCCACTACATGCTAGCCGAGGATTCGAGAATTGCGCTTACCCCATTCTCCTTCAAATATGTTGTATTCCTGTGGTCTAAGCTTGCGCAGAGAACTGTAGTTAGCCAAACGACCAATGCCAAGATGGGGTTGTGGCCATGCGCTCTGAAAGTACAACGTGAAAGTTACCTATCTATTTAGTAAATGAAGTTCGATGTTCTTTTAAGCAGATTGCGCGTATCTTGCTTCGTATATTTTATAATTCACTCAGGTACAGTTAAACCTGTAAATAACGGTCAATCAAAGGGAACGCCAATTGTGACCTTTACAGACAGATGTCTGATGTACAGATCTGGTTACACTGTATAACTACCGCTCAAGGGTAACGCCAAAGGTGCCTTCAATAGGCAGATGAACGTTCCATAGAAGTGGGCTATTTGAATATACCGACCACTCAATGTAAACGCTAAAAATGTGTTCTCTAGACAGGTGTCCGTTCTATAGAGGTAGTTTCGCTGTGTAACTATCACTGGCGTGAAATGTAAGGAATGTATTTTATGGACAAACGTCCGTTCTATGGAGGTAAACGCTAACACAGGGTTGACTTTACTGGCGGCTGCGACGGAGAACCCGGCTACACTCACGTATTTGTCGCGGATCTTGTCTCTGAACTGATGGTATCTCTCGTTGGGGATTTTCTGATCCAAGGTGCCAAGTTCACCCTTCAGCCACGGGTGATCCAGCGCCTCGTGTACAGTCATCCTCTCACTGCAACGGCACGCACAGCGATAGATAGATCGATTACACACATACACATAAAAAGATCATACACTCAGACACACGCAGATGCACGAATCGCGCGCACGCAAGCACGCCCACACATATACATACGCACTCACACACGCACACGCTCACACACGCACGCACACGCACACGCACACGTATACACGCACTGACGCACATACTCACATACTCACACGCACGCGCACACGCACACACTCACGCGCACGCGCACACGCACACGCACACGCATGCACGCACGCACGCACGCGCGTGCGCGCGCGCACACGCACACATCTCGCAGTAGAAACCTCTGACGTACGTTTTGTCAGCCATCAGTAGTTTCTTGATGAAGTCCTTCCCTTCGTCGGAGATACCGCGGAAGGCGGACGGCTCAAACGCCCAATCGCAGCGCCGCACGTTCTTCAACGTCTCTACGTCATCGTCACCGGCGAACGGAGACAATCCGCTAAGCCTGGTCACAGAGAACAACATGGAGGGTGAGCTAATGATAGAGATGAAGACGTATAGAGCTGATATGGCTTCAACTCTTGTTGCGCAAACCCCGAACGTTTTGCCAGTAAAGAGGATTGATATAAAGACAGAGGATGGTCAATGAAAACAACATGAAGTGTGGTTAATGATAGAGAGAAAATGTGAAGACCTTCAATTACTTCATTACTTTAAACTAGAAAGCTCAGTATGAACCCAAAATGTTATAATGTGATTAGACGAATTTTACTACACTGTTCTTCATTTTATATTTGCTTCTTCGACTCATTTTGTTATCTACTCTTTCACTTGCTTAACACATTCAAACAGAGGGGACTAAGTCACAGCTGATACGCTGAGCATCCGTCGGGAAGAAGCTTACACTTACAGCACATAGGAAAGCACTCCGACTGCCCACATGTCCGTGTAGAACCCAACAGGCTGCCTCTCAACGATCTCTGGCGCAGCAAAGTCAGCCGTGCCTGTTGTAACGTAAAACAATTATGATAAAGTCCCTCCGACAAGTCAAAAACGAATTGATGTAGAGAGACGCGAGAAGCACATTAGATATATAGTCGCAGCACTGTCCAACCACACGGGTTCAAACTACGGGTTGAAGTTGCAGGTGGATTGACGATTTTGACATCCTCTGATCCGCTTGTTTACACCTGCGTAATGCTGCCCATGACAGTTTCCACCCCTTCACACCTACATGGCATAATGTTGCTCATGCATGTCTGCTTCTCTCCGCTTATATATATATACATATATTATATATATAATATATATGTACATATTGTATTTTACATATATATTTATATTATGTTCTTCATGTCAGCTCCTCTCCGCTTCTACGCTCTCACCTGTTGTGATATATACCGGCTCCTTCGGGTTCAGCTTCGCCGACAGTCCGAAATCGATCATCTTCACGTCGGTCGACTTATTCGTCGTCGCCATCACGTTCTCGGGCTTGATGTCGAGATGCACGATGCTGTTCTCGTGCATGTGCCGCAGTCCCTGGCACACCTGCTGCATGTAGTGTATGGCTTCGGCCTCCGTCATCTTGTAGTTGTCGGAGGTGATGCGCTCAAACAGCTCGCCGCCGGACAAGCTGCGCGAAAGTAGAAGAGTAGGTTAACACTAATTGTGTAAGGATAATTATTGTTATTATAATTGATGATGATGATGATGATGATAATGATGATGCTTAAAATTATTATTATTATTACTAATATTATTATTATTTCCAAAGTGGATCACGGCATTAGCCGGTGGTTTCTGGGTTGGCCGTGTCCCAACCTGGGACATAGGGATTCAATCCAGAATTTTGCACTTATTATTATTATTATCATTATTATTATTAGCATCATCATCATCATCATCATCATCATCATCATCATCATCATCATCATTATCATCATCATCATTATTCTTTTGTCATCATCATCATCATCATCATCATCATCATCATCATCATTATCATCATCATCATCAATATTATTTATGTCGTACGGTACAATGCCTGCTGCCGTCAGGCGGCACTTACTATTCCATGATCATGCACATCTCGTCAGGAGCCTCGTACGCATCGTGAAGGCGCAGCAGGTTCGGGTGATGCAGGTTGTTCATCGTCTCGATTTCGGTGCGTATGAGCGCCTTCTCCTGCGGGCTGGTGGTGTTCGTGAACTTAGCAGCGAACGCGTTACCGGTGGCCTTCTCCACGCAGCGATGAACAACGCCAAACGCACCCCTGTAATCAAGAGCAGCGCGAATGTAAGTAAAGATCGGTATAGAGATTATAGTCTAGCGAAGGTTCTAATTACAAGAGAGCGAGGAAGGATATCGTTGACACACGCGGTCTGATGTTAAAGGAGTCGAGTAGTGCGCGACGCACGCACGCACGCGCGCGCGCACACACACACACACACACACACACACACACACACACACACACACACACACACACACACATATATATATTTATATATTGTTTATTAATCTATTATATTTCACAATCGTACTTACACTCCCAATTCTTCCAGTATGTCGTAGTCATCATATACGCTGCCATGCTTGATCTTCACCGGCGGCTGGGACGGATACTTCTTGTTGTAATCGTAGACTTGAGAAAAACACGCAGACACATACCAGTTAAAACTTACATACCGTAATAGCAAGTGTGAAAGCATAGTTCACGAGAATATATCTCTGTGCTAAGCATATGTGAAACGGATGTCTGGACCGTCTCTTCGGGACGCAGGTCCAGTACGCTTCCTACTCAACGTGGGTGGTTGAACGAACTTAATACTCGATGCCATTGATCTATACAGTTGACGGATGAACTAAGATATATATATTGGTACCCGCTTCTGGTTCATTTAAGGACAACAAGGTAAAGTCTTTTGGAATTGAATTAAGTACACGTTTTTAGAAATTTTCTAGAGTTCGTGTAAGTTTGTTAAGTTCGTTTAAGTTCGTTAAGTTCGTTTAAGTTCGTTCACAATAAAACATGAGGCTAATGAACATAGGCCACGAAAAATAACATATACTTACAGAATCGGTCATAGTTATCTTGTATCGGTCCCCTTCCTCTGATCTTCCTGCCATGTTCATCTATAAATATGCCAGAGACACGTGTAAGCCACAGCAAGGTAAAAAGCAAGGTCATTTAAGTCAATGCTTGTAGGATATTTCTTAGTTTATGTATGTAAATATAGATATAGTCAACTCATAATTACCTTCATATGGTGGGCCCTTCTTTTTGTTGTATTCGTCTGATTCTGTGAATAGTCAAGCAACATCAGCAAATGTAATATCACTCAACAATAACTGCTTATCCATCTTTGAATATCACATATTGTTTAAATATGTGACGAACAACGACCGACGAACGAACAACCGGTTGAAATATTATTGGAGTTGCATGTTTTTATAGTTTAAAAATGCAAAAAATTATATCGATTATGAGTTTGGCGAAAATCAATATGTTATTATTATTGCTGGTTTACTTAATTGATAGTCCGGCACCAAAGACTATCGCTGTAAAGTTTCTATGATGGGGCTTTTGCTGCATGGTCAATGATAATATGAAAAACGGACAACGGTTGTCTTGAGAGAGGATTACTCGAGGAACTTCAAAACCGTATTATCGTTTTAATTTACGTGTTCCGAATGTAGCGACTTAGCTGTTGAAAAAAATGATACGTGGACAACAGAAATGGAGAGAGAAGGGGGATGCGAAAGACAGCGCGCGTGTTTGTGCGAGAGAAAGCGAAGAGAGAGAGAGTGACAGAGAGAGAGACATGGAAAGAAAGGAAGATAGAGCGAGTACGTGAGAGAGAGAGAGATAGAGAGAGAGAGAAAGAAAGATAGCGTGAGCATGAGCGAGCTAGAGAGAGAGAGAGAGAGAGAGAGAGAGAAGACGCAGAGCGAAGAAGAGAGAGAAGAGAGAGAGGTAGCGATGTAAGAAAGAAGCGCAGAGAGACGAGGAGCACGAGAGAAGAGAGAGCGGACGCAGAGAAGAGAGCAGAGAGAGAAGATAAGCATACATATAAGAGTGCTATAATTTTTTAGTTTTTTATTGCAGTACCTTGCGACCGACAGTGAATCAGCACTCACACACTGCATATATACTGGCTACTCGCCTGCATATTTTCACGCACGTTTCCAGCGAGCAGTGAATGTATAGAAGAAGTCCATTCCGTAGAATGGTATGGAAGAAAAGTCGCAGATAATAGTTAGCGCCACAGCAAATTCTAACAAATGTTGATAACGGATAATAAAGCTATGCTAAAACCAAACATGTCAGACCAAACAGACAGCATTGTAGCCATAGAATTTTGAAAATGCTGTTAATAGGTTTTAAAGGTAGTTTACAAATGAAATAATGACCAACATATTAATAAAAGTTGTATTGCACAATACACAAATGCTAATTTGTAATAATCTGACACATTAGGTACGTTGATTGAACTAAATGCATATAATTAATAAAATTCCACGCGAAATAAATATTTTTCAACTAGGAAAAGGTAATTGTTAGCAGGCAACACCTAACAGCAAAATAAATATTACAGTAATTATTATAATTCACAATCCATGCTTAACTATATATGCATAAAATTTGCAGTTGAACACGTTTATTCTCCAGAAGATCTTCGAGAATAAATCTCATTTTTAATTTATTATTTTGCCAATTATATTAAAAAATCAATCACTCGCTGAAATAACGTTGCTGCAATTATATAAATAAATAAATAAATAAATAAATAAATAAATAATTAAATAAATAAACAAATAAATAAATAAATAATTAATAAATAAATATATCTATATATGAATGAAGTCAAATTTAAATATGTGTTTGAATACAACTAGTCTCATTTAAATCTAAAGCCGAAACAACGAGTTTGATATTATCAAGAGTAGATGTGTTATTATCTACTCTGATATTATTGATCAACACCGCTTCATATATCTGTCTAGCTAACATTCTCGCGTTCTATTCTAACTCTCTCACAGCAAAGAAATTTCTAGCAACACATCCAACACAAATGCAACGATAAGAACTGAACAGATTTACAGACCGTAAAGTCGGCTACGAAATCGAACACTCGTAAAATACAGTGAAAGAAACGCAACGACCAACGCTCTACCGAACGCACACCCGAGGAACGAACAGCATAGCGTGGACTGCGTTGCGATATGGAGAAAAGAGAAGACGGGTGAGGGGAACCATTCAGGCGCTCATAGGGTCTATGTCCCCAGGGTACTGCCGAACGCTACCTGGGTACGGTCCGTATACCGAACAGTACCCTGGTAAACTATTTGATATGGTTAGGAGTGTAGGCGTATGGAGTTATGGCAGAAAGAAAACTAGGGTATACGAGTAAGCGTAGGCGACTCCCTAGACTCGTTAGTGGAGTAGGCGAGGTACGGTCCGGCATATTAGATAGTACCAGGGTACGTTCCGGCAGTACCCTGGGGGACATAGACCTTTTCAGCATTACAGGCGTAGACTTACCCTGGGTCTTGATAGGAGCCGTTGGTTCGCAGGGCTCACTCCTGCCGTAGAAATTCTCGGCACAGACTCGGAACTGATATTGCTTGTTAGGCTCGAGGTTTTCCATCGTGTGGTACGTGAACCTGCAATATGACGGCGTTATAGAATTTGTGGGTGAGCTGCAGCTCCAAAACTAGTAGAGGTAAAAGTCGGCATTAATATAACCATACTTGATGATAATATGAAACTACATCACAATCAATGATTATTACATTTTAGCATAATATATACTAGATAGATAGCGACAGAGAGAAAGAGAGAGAAGGAGAGAGAGGGAATGGAGGGGGGAAAAAGAAAGAAAGAAAGAAAGAGAGAGAGATCCCCGAAGGGAGGGACAGAGCGGACGGGGGAGAGCGGTTTTTGGGGGGTGGGGAGAGAACTACGTACCTTTGGCTACCGACGCGGATCCACTTCAGAGGATCTACCGATGGCTCGCACTTCTCGATAACGTACTCCGTGATGAAGCTGCCGCCATCATTGTTCGGTGGTTTCCATGACAACGTGACGGAGGTGTCGCGCACGTTCTCCACCAGAGGGAAGCGCGGCGGGTCCGGCTTGTCTGCAACGGAGACATAACGATTATTACCGCACCGAATTATTGAGAAATCTTAAAATACATTTTAAACTATAGATTGCCCGCTTCGTTTCCGAACCGCTTAGGGGGAATCTTTTCTAATTTAATTTAATTTACCTTATTTATTACTTACTACTATCTTACTTTATTCAATCTTATTTAATTTCATTTAAACGTATTGTAACGTAGATACAATTGTTTCTGATATTTTACTATTATAGTGCATTATTGGACTATTTATGGTTAATATACTATACGCAGCAGGTCTATTCCCGGCTTACCGTTGATCTGTATGTTGATGACAGTGCTGTCCTGACCTAGGTTGTTCTCGAGGAATAGTCGGTAGGGTCCGCTGTCCTTCTTATCTGTGTCTCTGATAGTAAGGATGGCGTGCCTCTCTCCCAACTCCACCTGTACGCAAACAGTGATCGTTACTAACGGCCACGAGGTGGTTCTCTTACATTAATGTTTACCTGATATTCTTATAATTAAGAATAAATTAATATTATATAACATTACGTAAAAATTACACATTTATATATAATACTAAATGATAGATAAACACTGTCATTAAATGACAAATATTTGTTACTAATTATTGATTAGCTTAACATCAGTAGTATTTTACCTTGTATTGGCCTCCATGTTCTATGTCCTCTCCTTCGTGTGACCAGATAGCCTTGGGTTTCGGGTTACCAGTGAACGGTATTTTGATGACGATTGTCTCTCCCTTTTCAAATGTAGCAACGTCAGCAAACCGTGGTGGTATGATAATCTTCGGTGGTGCTAGAGAGAAAAAGCAAAATGGCATTAATTGACAAGTAAATTGGTAAACGAGTAATTATTTACAGGATAGATTGTGTTTATGAAAACGATTTATGATAGATGATATATCATTTTTGTTAAAAACCTAATGCTAAAAACAATTGCTTCCATCATATCATATTTAATCATACCTTGGATTTTGCAATCTACTTCTTCTCGAGTGCATAAATAGGCGGAACGAAAAATTATTGGTTTACGCAATATATTCAATTGTTAAACTGAGTAACACACGCTCGCACGCACACGTACACGCATAAACACACGCACTCACGCATACACGCACACACATATATTCACACTCCCATCTCTCGGTATTTTTCTTTTCTCATCTCCCTCTCTCGCCCTCTTGCGCACGTTCTCTGTGTCGCTCTCTCTTTCTCCCCCTTCCTCCCCCCTCTCTCTCTCTCTCTCTTGCACTCACGCCTTTTTTGCCTCATCTCTCTCACCTATCTCTCGCCTAGTTCTATCGCTCTCCCCATAATTCTTTCTCTTTCTCCCTCGTTCTATCGCTCTCCCCATAATTCTTTCTCTCTCTCCCTCATTCTATCGCTTTCACCCTCCACGTCGGTGACTCATGCACTTTCGTTCGGCCGCGTTAACTTACACATGATAGTGAGATCAGTAACTTACACATGATGGTGAGATCAGTAACTTACACATGATGGTGAGATCAGTAACTTACACATGATGGTGAGATCAGTAACTTACACATGGTGGTGAGATCAGTAACTTACACCATGATGGTGAGATCAGTAAGCTTACACATAATGGTGGATTTAATATCTACACATTGATGGTGAGAGTCAGTAACTTACATCATGATAGTGCGATCAGTAACTTACACCTGTATTGTGAGATCAGTAAACTTACACATCGATGGTAGATCAGTAAACTTACACATGATGCGTGAGATCATAACTTACACATGATGGTGGAATCAGTAACTTACACATGATGGTGAGATTAGTAAGCTGACACATGATGTGCAGATCAGTAACTTAGCACATAAATGCGTGAGATCCGTAACTTACACATTGATGGTGAGATGCAGTAACTTACACATTAATGGTGAGCCATCAGCTAACTTACACATGATGGTGAGATCAGTAACTTACACATGGTGCGTGCAGACTCAGTAACTTACACATAATGGTGAGCATCAGGTAACTTACACATGGTGGTGAGATCAGCTAATTACACAGATGGCTGGAGGTCGACACCACCAAATGAAAAAAAAAATTGGTGAGATCAGTAACGTAGCACATGATGGTGAGCATCAGCTAACTTACACATGATGGTTGAGATCATCTCGTGATGGTAGATGCAAGTAACTTACACATATGGTGAGATCAGTAACTTACTACATGGTGGTGAGATCAGTCAACTTACACATGATGGTGAGATCAGTAACTTACACCATAATGGTGAGATTAACATTGCTTACACATGATGGTGAGATCAGTAACTTGACAGCATGCATGCGTAGATCAGTGACTTGCTTACACATGAATGGTGAGCATCAGTAAACTTAGGCACATGATGGTGAGATTCAGTAAACTTACACATGATGGTGAGATCAGTAACTTCTACACATGATGGTGAAGATCAGTAAAGCTTACACAGATGGTGAGCATCAGTACCTGACACATGATGGTGAGATCAGTAACTTACACATAATGTGAAGATCCGTAACCTACACATGAGCATGGTGAGATCAGTAACTTACACATATGGTGAGATCAGTAACTTACACCATGATGGTGGAGATCCAGTCAACTACACATGGTGGTCGAGATCATGCCACTTACACATGATGCGTGAGATCAGTAACTTACACATGGTGGTGAGATCAGGTAACTTACAGCATATGTGTGAGATCAGTAACTTACACATGAATGGTGAGATCAGTACCTTACACATGATGGTGAGATCAGTAACTTACACATGATGGTGAGATCAGTAACTTTATACATGGTCGTGAGGATTCAGTACTTTACACTATGATGGTGAGATCAGGTAACTTACACAGGCATGGTGAGCATCATAACATTACACATGAGTGGTGAGATCACGTCAACTTTACATCATGATTTGTGAGATCAGTAACTTACACATGATGGTGACGATCAGTGACTTACAACATGGTGGTGAGATCAGTAACTTACACTGTGTGTGAGATTCAGTAACTTAGCATCATTGATGGTGAGATCAGTTAACGTTAGCGACAGTGATGGTGAGATGCAGTAACTTATCACATGGTGTGCAGATCAGTAAACTTACACATGATGCGTGAGATCGCCAACTTACACATGGCGGGGGAGATTTTTCAGCGTAACTTACACATGATGGTCGAGATCAGTTAACTTACAGCATGCATGGTGAGGATCAGTAAGCTTACATCATGGCTGGTAAGATCAAGTAAACTACACATGAGCGTTGAATCTATGTAATATACACATGATGGTGAGTCAGCTAACTTAACAGCATGATGGTGAGATCAATATACGTTAACACATTGATGTAGAGATCAGTAACTTACACATTATTTGTGAGATCAGTTAACTTACCATGATGGTGAGATCAGTAACTATACACATGTGGTGGAATCAGTACTCACATGAATTGTGAGATCGGCCGCGAGAGGCGCGGGAGCCAGCTTTGTTGAGCGCCCTGGCACACGTACTCGTCGGCGCCTCGGCGATACATCTCGTCATGACAGTGAGGGAAATGTCTAGTCAGCCGTCCCTGGTGCAACTGTTGTACCTTTCTCGCCGTCCGAAGCTCTCCTTTCTGGTGTAAACCAATTAGTACCTTGATTGTGAGGTGCAAAGAATGGTTGGTGAATTTGAATACATGCATTTACTGGGTCTACGAGCTTTACAGCGGTGATAGCGTTATTCGGCGATCGCGATTGTAGCGGTACCGCACGGACGGGGGCGCCCGCGGGGACGACGGCGCCAACCACACCGCGAGCCCGGCGACGGCCGGAGCACGAGGACGGGAGGGCCGGGACAGGACCGGGGGCGGGTCGGGGTTGCAGAGAAAAAAAAGGCATTTTTTGTACATATATTAATATTTCATATGAAAATGGTCGAATATCATGCGATATATATCGCGAATTAATATTTTAATTTGTTTTTTGGGCGCATGCTATGCGGCCGCCGGTTACGGCAAACGCTTTCATATAATAAAATATGCAGTCTTGTGATGAATAATTTTTACTGATATGATATCAGCATGACAGCATCTCACCATTGTGATTAGTAGGCCTGTGTAAGCAAGAATCTCGCGCATTCAAAACTTGCCGGACTTGCCCTGTACGCCCGTGACGGGGCTTTCTTTCAGTTGACCGGTACCAAACTCAGGTAGCACGCGGGCTGCAATAAAGCCAATCACGGCGTGGTCATTCAAGTTACCTCATGCTTGTAATGCAGCGCTGCTTGACACACATGCATTATTCAGCCGTGTTGACTTTTATACTGTCTAATTAAATCGATCAGGCTTGGAATAGACTTGTATTTTACGCATGTGCAGAATTCGCATTGATAGTTGCATATCGAATTTCAACGTTCGAATGGTTAACGTGGTACTCGGACTATCATGTGGCGCGCTACTCGTGGGTCCTTGACCTTGACAGGGGTGGAGTTGATGAAACGGCTTCGCTCGACCGCGCCTGCGTTGACGGCTATGATGCGGGAACTCGTATGTCTGTCCTCGATCAGGTTAGGCACGTTGAATGATGGTCGCGGACACAGCGACGGGTTGCATCGCATCCAGTCGGGTAGAGTCGACTCGCGCTTCTCTACCAGTAAGCCCTGCGATCTTGCCGCCGACCGTCCGAACGTCGGTCTGCTCCCAGCTGAGGCTGACGCAATAGTCGCCGCTCCAACCTGTGATACCTCCGGGATGCCGGCGGTTTATACGCTGGCGGTCTGTTCGCGAGAAAAAGCATCATATGATGTTTAGACAGTAGAGCGCTGAAGGATAAAATATTGGCGCTAAAAATGTTTGATATAGAATTATATTGTACGTGTATCAAATGCCACGTACACGCACGCACGCACGCACGCACGCACAGCAGCGCACGCACGGCACGGCACGCAACACACATATTATATTATGGCACCGATGGTTGTAATCTAACTGCCATATTTTCCTTTATAGGAATTGCATGTAGCAATACTTCATCGCAATTACGGCCTTAAGATTTACCGGACCTACAAATAGCAAGCCAGAATGACTGTGTACATGTTTAAAAAAAAAAAGCAAGTAGCATTGCCTATCTTACTAATCGTCTCTGCTGAAGAACTTGAAACTAGACTAACTCGTCATAACTAAGCACACGACATATGGCGTGCGCTGAGCGATAACGCGGGGGCATTTTGATGAGGCACAAAACGTTTGACAGGACGTAACCGAACGGCAGTTTCGGCAATCGGACAGGTAGATCGGACACCAGTGGCTTCGCTCTTCCGCTTTTGCGTGACAGAAACACACGCGGAACTCATCACTGTTGCCCGTCAATCAGACCCTGAGTTGTGAACTAGTATCCTGCAACGAGTAAATCCACAACAACTTGTTAATATCACTATTTATAAAGAGATACTATAATACTTATATAGATTATAAAATATTATGTTGCATATACAGACAAAACGTTAGGTGATACTTAAAATTCTGCCTGTTATACACGAACGACGAGCGCAATAGCGAACGCCGGAGAATTATTAGCAGGTGCGGATTATCATATCCATTTAGTTTGTTGATGTTTTGCATACAACGCTTATACAATTTACTATCCAGGTATATATTCAACCATTATTATTATTATTGATTATCTTATGAACTCGTGGCAACGAACAAAACACTGGAACCGGAACACGGCATTAAAATTCATTTGCTGTTCAATGTGTTTGCTAAAGATATGAGCGATAACCAACCGAGAGAGACAATGCGGACGC